AATAAAAACACAAGACAAATTTACAAATAAATTCTAGCAATTACTCGATTTGAATAAAATTCGAAGAAAAATGAAAAATAAAACATTGTTCCATTGCTCTAATCTTGATTGTTACTGATCTCCTCACCAAATCCTAAATTACCCCATACATTTGATTGAGAACAATTTTACCCAAATTGTATTTTCCTTATTCCTATCCTCCACGTCTTATTATTTCCTCTAACTTGCACACTGTGGAATACTTTATTTACGCTGGAATTAATTTTCGCTGAAAAGGCTTTTTGGGCGTTTTGCTTGGAATTTATTTTCACTGATTTTTAATGAGTTTAATGTGAAATATAGAAAAAAAAGTATATTCACTGGATTTTATTTTCACGGAATCATCCCTTCAGCGAAAATAGCGAAAATAAAGTATTCTACAGTATGTTCACTGCAACTTGCTCACATAACATTGAAAGAAATTGTTGTTATTGTATTGACTTACATTTTGTTTTACTTTCCATAGTTTCAATAATGGGTAAAACTTTAGTATTCCAATAGAGTGCATCTTCTTGGCTTTCATCATCTCTTTTTCCAACATCCAATTTACAAATTTTGTCATCACTGAAACAGTATGGAACATTAAGTTTATATAGGATGAATGTTAAATTTAAATTTGGAGAAGAACAGAGTATACATGCAAGTTTCAACACTTTGTAATATATGCAAATCAGCCTACTGTATATTCGCATATTGTTTCCATCAGAAATATATGATCATCACACACAGCACATTTTAAAATGATGCTGGTAACCCCAGATAACAATATGAGCTGGGAAACAATCTGTACATTTTAAGTAGCTTGTTGGGGTAACAATTTTTGATTATGGTAGCACTAAGAAATAATTGGTAGACTGTGTGCCTTAGCTACTGTTAATTTCTAATGTACATAGGGGTGTAAAATAAATGACAGAAATGCAATACTATTTTCATGTATGCTATCTATCTATCTGTGTTCTTGAATGAAGTGCAAGCCTATGATCAACAAATTGTAGAACGACCAGGTGGCACAGGTGACTTACCATCTGGTTGTTCTTATTGTACCAGCTGAACTAGATCTAATCATTTCATCATCCAATTTCTCATCAAAGAAATTCTTTGTTCTTTCTTTGGGACCACTATGTACCCTCCTTGGAAACTCTTCTGGAGGTGACTCTGGTGCCTTGGATGGAAATGAACCTCTACGGCCAGGCATAGAGGGTAAAATACCTGCAAATACATATCAATACAGGATTTTCAATCATTCACAAAATATATATGGATAAATATATGGATTGTCTTCAATACTTAGACAGAATATTTAGACAGTAGGTGACAGATATGTGACTATCCTTCCTGTGTGCAGCTAATTCTAAAGAAGTCAGTTTGAAATATCTTAATAAAATAAGGGGTTACACTGTTACGTTATTTTTTTTGATGTATGCATATTTTAGAATATTCAGTCTACAATTAATTATTTTGATTTTATTCAATAAAATTTTTCATTGGCAACCAGATTTTTTTTTAGAAAAACTATCAAATAATAAGAAAAGCTTGAAAGTTCAATGACTGTTTCCATAGTCTACAATGACAAAATATTTTAAAAACTCACTAAAAATGTTGTCATATAATACTGTATAATCTTATAATATCTTCTCTTAGGTTGACGTTCACAGACATGAGTGATTACCACCAGAGTTTTGTATTAATCACAGCCGAAAACGATAAAATGCAAAAAGAATTTTTCATCTGTCCTGTATTACAATGTATGTCAAACTGTTGATATATATACACGTTATATGCATGTGATAATGTGTTAAATAAAACATACCTTCTCCATCAGCACCAATGGACGGTAACTTGGCTCGGAATCTTTTACCACTACCTGTTCTATGTGCATCATTTGGTGGTGGTTTGGGAATCTTTGGTGAAATATCATTGGTAGTGGTGGTTGGAGGACTAGAAGAACTAACTGGAAGAGGAGGTTTCTGTAACAACATACGAAAATATATGATGATACACCATGATACATTTTTGTTCTTAAATTACACACTATCCCAAAATAACTCAACCATTAAGTCAAATTGATATCTCATGCAGTACTCTTTAATCCAAGCAGTGAGTGATATTAAAGTAACATTCCCAATCTCCTAACATGTGAAAAATTACCCACAGATTATGTTGTTTTAGCTAAAAAATATTTTTGTTTGTTTTTGTTTTTAAAAAGTAGATTATCTGCCCCTACTCCCCGTACATTTAATTTTGAGAGTACTAGAGGTTCTTATTGAACTGATTAAGAGTCTATTGTTTACAAACTCATATTTTACAGTAAATTTCTCAATCTCCATCCACAATCTTAACAATTAATATATTTGCAAAGTTAGAATGCAGATTCAGTGACAGTAATGCATCAATTTTTTTTAACTTTAGAGCGAGAGAGTTGCCATGCAGCATCAAGTTTAAATTGGTTCTATAAAACAATCAGCACTGATAAAACTGTACGACCATCTCTATTGGGGGAAAACATTTATATAATGTTTAATAAATAATTTAACGTTTTGAAGACAACTTGAAAATGTTGCCAAGGAAAAACTTTAAAGAATTTTTGAACTTGGTCGCTACAATGGCTACTACATGTATCCAAGCAACTAAGATTGAAATGATGTAGATGAAAGACTACTTGTTAGGTATATTATACTATCAGGGGTGGTTTCTCTAGAAAAAATAAACAAGAGGGAGCGAGCACACACAGGCGATCAACCTGAACGCCATATCACAAGGTTTCTGCGTTGATTTAACGGTGTATCTATCGCCATTGAAATATTTTTGGAGTAATTTTAGTGTATTTGGTGTCCAGACACATTGTCAGTTGGTGTTGCTGGAAAGTTTTCACGGAGAAAAATATATTTGAGAAAGATTTCATGTTGTATGGCAGCACAGAAGAGCGTGGCTCAAGAAATATATTTATGACTTGAAAGTTCAATCGAGGGCGCCAGCCGAGAGTATCAGGGTTCTGCGCTCCTGTTCCCCGGTTTAGAAAAAACCCTGACTATACTGTAGACTATGGTGACATAGAATGGTATGTTACATGTACAGATGACTACTTGAATGTAAATATCACAGGGCAACTGTTACTATAGTACTAAAAGCAGTAACGAAACTCTCCCAAAATGTGTGGTATTTGGGGAATAGTACAGTGAACACTAAGATTTAAACAATAGAATAGTGAATGAGATCACTATGTGTAGATTCCTAATACACATGATATATCATGGATACTGGAATAGGTAAATGTAATGTAATGAATTTAGCATTTCATCTCAGGTTTATAGGCATGAAAAAACTATGCATTGTCTGAAACTTGACACAGCTGACACACACCTGATATATTTTTAATATATTTTTATATAATTATATATATATATATATATAATTATTGGGAATTTAAAGTGCTCAAAATAAACAATGATTGCATTAACCACAAAAGCTGATTCATGGACTCAAATATTAGATTGTGTTAGTTAGTACAACAAGCCATGCATGCCACAGTCCCTGTTAGTTATAAAATTTAAGATATGTAGTTTTGTTTATAGTAATATAGTTGGAACATATACATGTCAGAAGTATGGATCCAAAAAATGATGCTTGAGTATGATGATTATTTAACATTAAAATGATTGACATCTTGTATCTGATCATCAAACGAGTACTTGTCCATATTGAGAAATATTGCTCTGGAACAGCATTAATTAAAACAAAATGGCCACCAGTTGGCAATTTTGAATACATCTATATATATTTAACATGATGTAAAATGAAAATCTAAAATTTGAACATAATCAGTCTAAGCATATCAGAGATATGGCTCTAGAAGCACATTCATTAAAACAAAATGGCCGTCAGTCTGCCATTTTAAATTGGATCTGAAAAATAAAATAATGAGCATCAAGGGTGCATAATGTCCAACGTCATGATGTACAAAATTTTCAACAAAATCCATCCATAAATGCTTGATTTTGATGATTTTTAGCACAAAAATGGCCACCATTCGGCCATCTTGAATCAGATTGTGAAACAAATTGATGTGCAATTTTGATTGTGATTGGTTCAAGCATGTCTAAGATACAGGTCTGGATGCACACACGCACACACAGACGCAACAAAGGTCAAAACATAAATGGGTCCTATTTGTGATGAAGGGACATAATACAAAGTATTAACTCCTCTTCACTTTTTTCATTGGGTCTTGATCAATGGATTCTAATGCATTCCTGCCTTGTAAGCATGGAGATGGTACAATGATGAAAGTAACAATACCAATGTAGACTTACATGTTCTAAAGGAGCTAACCGTGTAGCAGAAACGGGTCGTGAATCACATCCATCAAAATGACGAGCACCAAGACTATAATTGAAAAATAATAAATAAAATTTACATTAAAGTGCATGTTATACAATACAGAAATGCTGTGAATCACATTGTTTGTGTTTTTGTAATTGGTCATTTTGTACTTTTTGTACAAACTGCTTGATGAATATTTCCAAGCATATCACAGAAGATCAGGAAACTTGTCAATGGGTGATCAACAGAACACTGCCATGTAAATTACATGTAAAGCACATTTGTAGCACACAGATTTTGTCCCATTTTATCAATAAATCCATCTTTGATAAGGATAAATGTATACATGTGATAAATACTTTAATCTCATGCTATTTCTGTTTGTTAAAAATAAGTATGAATTAGATTCCAATTCAGGCAAAAATGTGATGTCAAACACCAATGCATTGGATCATGTATAAAAATAATAATTTTTTAGTTAATAGAAGTACTTTTCGATCTTGACAAGCATCATCATATAGGTCATAATTTATGTACACCATAACCATAACAGTGACACCATGGAAACCATACATTATAAAGGTTGTCATAGAAATAAGACATCATATTGCTACGGCAACAGATTTGTATGCTCCATGCTGGATGTGCATGTTATTTTGAAGGACTTCTACATATAGTATGGAAGATGTGAGAATATTATACAATTCTAAAATATATTTATTTATAAATTAATTATTTTTAAAGGGTTCTAGAATGACAGGTGTTGGAAGTTTTTGGTTTTGATTAGATCAGATATGGGAAAAAAAAGTCTCATCACCAATGTTGCAACACTTTTTATTCTTTTTTTCAAACAGAATAAGAATATCAAACCATATGCTAGAAAGTTGATGTCATTTTGAACATACAACATGGTATGTATTTAAATATATAATATTCTAGTGTTTTAGAAAAACATACAATTTTTTTTTATAAGCCTTTGCGAGTCTGTTAAATAGTTGTTACATAGAAAATCCATTGCTAATGAGAGAAATAACAAGCAATTGCAGTACATAGTCCCTGTCAGTTCTCAAGTTTAAGAAATATATAAAGTTTGACATGAACAGTCAGAGATGTAGCTCCAAAACTATATTCACTAAAACAAAATAGCCACCAGTTGGCCACTTTGAGTCCTATCTGACAAACAAAGTGACATGCAATATGGTTCAATAAAGTACAGATCAAGATTTTCTGGAACCATAATTTGGTCATCTTGAATTAAATGAATGAATATGTACATGTGCGACATGATGTATATGTAAAGTTTGAACAGGGTCAGTGAGGACATATCAGAGATATAACTTCGGAACGACATTCATTCAAACAAAATGGCCAACAGTCAGCCATTTTTAATCTAATCCGAAAACAAACAGGCATGCATCAGGGTCTGATTTTTGTTCAATGTTAGTACAAAGTTTGAACAATCCATCCATTCATGACCGAGATAAGGAAGAAATTTTGATTTTGATGAATTTTTTTCTCAAAAAAATGCCGTCCTTAGGTCATTTTGAATCAGATCTTGAAATGAATGAATGAATGTGCATATGATGCCCATGATATGCAAGGTATTTATTAAGTTTGAATGTGATCCGACCAGGCATGTCTGAGTTACCGGTGGAGATGCACAGAAACACACATACATGCATGAGGTCAAAGCATAAATTCCTGGGACTAATAAATAAACTACACATTTTTAAACCATTAAAGATATATCGAGTATTTCAGCATAACAAATGCACTGCTGTATGACTATACATGTACATGTCATAACTTGACTTCAAAGTACATTTTATAGTAGTCATACAGGTGTGTTGAAATATAAATAGACAGGTTTAAATACAGAAGGCAGGATAATGAGAATGGCAATGTGTGTATCATAACACAACTAGAAATTATACATGTACAATATGGTACAAAATAACAACATATAGATGAAAAGGTACAATCATTTACATGTATGTATATTTTGAACAACAGCTAAAAAATCGTTACAGCATAATAAATAAATATTGAATTATATTGTAGTGCTGGTGTACTGGTGAATTATGCTTTTGACTTGTATCATATAAATACAGATCATATATTGAATTAATATTTAAAATACGAACACGTGTGAATGATTAATTGAGTATAGCTAAGCGATTCATTATTTCAGCAACAACACTCGATATATATAAAGCATGTACAGAAGCAGGACATGCATGTACAAGTGTGTAGCGACTTTTTATATGAATTACACTGTTGCTATGCAAAAATAGAGTACTGGTACTGCAAATGAATAACTATTGCTACTTTCGCTAAGTAAAATAAGCTAAATCAATTCATGTGAGCATTATAATAGAATTTAACAGGAAAGAAATTAAAAGTACAGTTTATTATGAACCAATGTTTATTGTTATTATTATTAATATATATATTGTTATTTTTTTATATAATTTTTAGTGGGTGGAGTTGGTTCTGATAGTGCTTTCAATATCTCACAGTAAATGGATTCTGAATACAAAATGGTACACTGGGGAGTTCAATATTACAAGTATGATAATATTAATTGAATTAAGAAATAGAGAATTCTTCAAACACATGAGCAGTTTACCCAAGTTTGCAATCTATGAATGCATTCAATGTTTTTAACTTAGGAAACGTTTAGAATATAAATTTATTTTAGAGTCTGGAATGCACATCAGTAAGACGTACATGTACTAGTGATTAATTATTTGATCATTCTATCATGCTAGTGATAGTGTCAAGGTAGGCCAAACTCAATAAATCACTGTAATATAACAAGACCTATTTGCTGCTATAGGAAAGCTTACTTGACATTCAAAACATTGCAGGTCTTAGAAAAATAAACAGATTACGATTTCATACATTTTTATGTTCTCAAAATGAGTAGATGGATGAGTATGAAACACTTTATTTGAGTGACGCCCCATGTGTTGTTTATTCGTACTAAAAGTAAGAAGATAGTTGAATCTTCTATTTGTAATAAACCCTTTTTACAGGATTTAATACAGGTCACTCTCAAGCTGTGAAGAGCTTTCAATTTGAACATATAATGTTGTCATGGAAACATTGTAATAAAGAAGGATAACGTGGCTGTAAATCAATTTTATTTTAGAGGAGCGTGTCTGAGGCTTAATGCATCCCTTTTGATTGTAATAGTATCACAACCAATAATATCATACTTAACTATTTTGAAACTTCTTTTTTTTATGAAAATTTGTAAATATTAATCAGGAATTATATCAAAGTTAAGTTGCTCTTTGAGAGCATTCAGAAAGCTGTATTGGGGTCTTAAATATTTTATATTCTGAATTTGCGCAGTGTATGGGAAATGCCATTGGTAGTTTTTTTGGATTCCTTTATGATTCTGTGGTTGAATTTTCTTTGCTAACTCTTTTTAATAGTGTTTCAATGTATGTGGATTCACAAAGATTCGCTCCTGTTTTGAATTACATGTAGTTATATACGAATTACTATTTTATCATTACCCATTAAATTCAGAATCTTATTTCATAAAAAAATGGACCTCACAATTAGTTTTCATACTACTATATCAGTAACATGGACCATGACAATATACATGTAGTATGATTACATTTAACTTTGAAAAATACAGATTCTCCCTATACAACAAATTCCCATATGCTTAGGCAATTTTATAACATTTTGCCAGGAAAATGGGAGCAGGCTCAACTTTGAAGGTTAACTTGCAATCCTACTGGGAGAATATGATGGGTAAATTTTGGGTTAAAATTATTTGAGGCATATGGCAGCATTTCAGTTAAGCTGAATATTTTCAGTTGCCAAGCAACAAGTGTCAGGAAAGATAGATTGTTCATTTTGTGGTTGCTTGGCAAGTTAGGTGATTTAGTTCAGAAAATATATTAAAAGCTGTCCATCTGTCTCAGACAAGCAGGTTTTTACATGACACAAATAACTAAACAAATTACAGATTTAAATTTATATCGCCTGCCAAAAGAAAAAGATAGTTGCGAATGACAAATGTTTATGAATTATTATTTATTTTCAGACAGTACATCTATGTACAGCATTAACATTATAAACCAGAAATGAAATAATGTCTTTGTTTGTGTAAACAAATCAATTTTGGCGACTTTTATCAGTGTTTCCATGTATTCATTGTGCTGTTTATTTTATATAATATACAAGTATGTACTCAATATCGCTGGTGTAACGGATAAACCAGAAATGAAATAATGTCTTTGTTTGTGTAAACAAATAGATTTTGGCGACTTATCAGTGTTTCCAATTTTCTATTGTGCTGTTTATTTTATTTAACATGTGTACTCCACATGACATGGTGTAACGGAGTGAAGAAATTTTAACAAACATTCTACCAATTATAACCAACATTTCTGTGATTTCTATTTCTAAGACATGAAAATGACATTCGCCATTCTCTGAGGTGAAGGCATTATGTGCAGAAAGTGCAATGTATGTATGTGACACATGCTGTATTAAGACGACGGTGTACATAAGCAAACATCAGCAGAGGAGCATCCAAGGACAGTGTCATGATATATATAGAACAAAACTAGTATTCTTACCTGAAGGCAGATGGAGGTCTATCAGGTGTTCTTGTAGAGCCACCAAATAAAGTTCTTTTACTATCTCTTGGTGTAAATGGACGTTTTGTTTTTACCTCGCGCACAGACTGCCTAGCTTCATTTATTATTTCCGAACTGGTCTTTTTATCTTGTGGTTTAACATAAAAAGGAGCATCAATTTTCTTCCTTGTAGTCATGCTCGGAAATAGATGTTAATATACAGATCCTCTGATTATAGTCAATTACAACAATTTCACTTCAAGTTGGAAAATCTGTGAGTGTCTGCATACTATAATTGTTACTGTAAAAAAGAAAACACAATTGTATTATTTAACAGTGGCTATGACAGATGTACAGTTAATTTAAACAGATAGGCAACAACAGTGTTGAGGCAAATATGTAAAAATGACACCTCTATGCAATACAGTATAAACACATCAAACAATTAATTCTCGCCTTGAATATAATAAAAATTATTGAAGTATATACATGTATATTTGAAGTAAACCTACATGGGCCCAACTGAAAAATGGCCATAACCACAATGGCTTAGATTATCAGAAAATATGTGCACCTTCAACCCAACACATATATGACATAAAGTTTGATGAAAACGGTCAAATCATCAGAGATAAATGTAGGGTTGAGGGACCCATTCATTTTTGAGATAAGGTTGAAGGGCCCAGTCATTTTTGAGATGGGGTTGAAGGGCCCAGTCATTTTTGAGATGGGGTTGAGGGACCCAGTCATTTTTGAGATGGGGTTGAGGGACCCATTCATTTTTGAGATAGGGTTGAGGGACCCAGTCATTTTTGAGATGGGGTTGAGGGACCCATTCATTTTTGAGATAAGGTTGAGGGGCCCAGTCATTTCTGAGATACTGGTTACAGAATTACATGTAGGTACATAATGCATGGTACATAATTTGCAGCAAGATCAATATGGAAATAGAAAAAAAAAAAAAGGCTCCCAGTCAGCCATACTGAATAATGTGCTCTTGCCCCGTTCTGTCATCTATTATACTAATTTTATGGTACAGTAACTATAGGTTTCATTAAACATGATATGGGAGCTTGCTTTTTATAGACATATTATTCCATAACCATTGTAACTTAAAATGATGCCACCATTTCAGTAAGAATGTAGTTTTTAATAATACATGTGTAAATACTATATAGAATGGAAAAAAATTGAGCTGATCAGAATGACCCTTGTGTCAGTCCTAGCAAGGTTAATCCCGCATCAGATAAAACAATGTAAAGAGTGACAACTTGAAAATGATTGACTGGGAAGTGGGGAAGTGGGGCATAAGGGATGCAACTATCATTCATATTGCAAATGATATACCATATATGAAAATAGGACATTACGCAATTACAATGTCTGCAAAAATGAAACTTGTGATTAATTATTAAAATGGAAATAATACAAACTAAAATAATTAAAACAAATGGGTGGTTGAATTACAAAATGTACTACACAAACATGTTTTTGCAATGGTATTTGAAAAAAAAAAGAAAAATGATTTTGCACGGCTTCTTTTCCTTACAGACATAATACAGCAAAGCTTCTCATCCTCTACATATTTCATTAGACTAACGAGATAGTTATCCAGACATACATACATACATACATACATACATACATATATACATACATACATACATACAGAGACTGGAGGAGAGAAACTGACAAACTTAGCATGTTGTAATCACAAAAGAATTTGTCAAGACGTTTCAGCTCTAGAAGTGGTCTCTCAAACAGTATCCAATAGGTAAGAATATATCTCAAGGTTACAGTGTTTGTAACTTTCACCACAGATACTGTAGTCTGATGTAAAACAGATCTACATGTACATGTAGCTGGAAACATCTAACTTTCTATTCACTCAAAAACAAATTAACAACAGCTGATGCCAACTATTATGAAAAATGGAAGTTCTGAATAAATAAATAATGTAATTATATATGTAAAATTTATAATGTTAATAAAAACATTACAGTAGTTGCACAGAAAGCAAATTTTGTGAAAATAAACAAAGTGTTTTACATGGTTGTATCTAAGACCCTAAGGTTATACACATTGTATGAACCTATATTGAACATGACATGTTGAAAAAACAGATAATTAATGATATATACCTTAGTGCCATTGTCAAGTTTCAATAAACAATTTTGCTTCACTTGATCAATGAGTAAAAATACAGTCAACCATTAATTACAGACTAATTAACATACAATGCAATTTATTACAGTACTATTTATATACATGAACAAACACATCGATATTATCATCACTTTGATGAAGATCAATACATGGTACATACCGGTAATACCATAGAGCCGGCTTGACTAACTCGGTAAACAATCGATATCAGTGATTTTAATTGTTCCAGTGTTCATACATGTATAGAAACTAAACTGAGCCAACATTGACGTCATCAATTTTGCACCCTCAAGCACCCAGATTCCAAATTCAAAAAAACGACTGTCTCTTGTTTACTATCCATCAAACTTGTTTTTTCATCCCGCCAAATTCCTAATAATAACTTGACTTCATTTCTATCACAAATACTACTACGTTTGTAGTTATGGACCGCCAAATTTCTATAAAAAAACTTTCAATGAATGGAACTCCAGAGCGAGGCTGACATTGAGGGCGTACTTTTAAGGCAGCATTATTGTTCACATGTGCTAAAACCATTTCTGTAAGTACGGGAAGCCAGTTTAAGACTTGCCATTTTAGGTTATCTTAAGCTAAATCGACAGGGCGCCCTGCTTATCTTGTTCATACATGTTTCAACGGCGGCTTAACTATAAAGCTGGTATCCAAACTAGGTTTTTGGCACACGGTATAATTGACACTAACATAATTAATTATCTGTTTATTTCGCTATCAAATTGTTTGATATATGAAATACTTAGCATTCCTTTGGAAACAATGTTAGAATGTATATGCTACAATGTACAAATACAGTAAAATATAAATACATAAACCAAATTTTTTGGAGACAAATCTTAAATATTATTATTATTAACTTCAGTGTCTGTATGGTTGATAATTATATTGTTAATATGAGATTATCACTTGTTCTTAGCGTCATGGGCGGCAGTACTGTAAAATGTGTATTAGAAGCTGTGGCTTCTATTAAAATGGTACAATGCAACAGAGGGGGTGCGGCTTCTATTAGAGCATCTACACATGAGAAATGGTGAATTTTTGGTTCTCAATTGTTCAAAAAAAAAATGGGTGCGACTTCTATTAGGGATGCGGCTTCTAATACAGATTTTACAGTACTATCCACTCATCTTCATTTAGTAAACAATACTAGCCCATGACATCACAGTCGTCAGTTTTATCAACCAGCTTTATAAGTAAGTGATATCTTGTGATAACCATTTTATCATATAACCAACTCCGACTGGCAAAAAACACAGAGAAATTGTGATTAAATCCGAAACTACAAGTCGTATGTTACATGTACTGGTAATTTACAATTTGTACACTATTTGACAAGTTTCTAAATTTTGCTAGTGGACAGACATTTTGTAGTTGTGGTCGTCAATGACTTATAGATCATTACAATTATTACCCTTTTTAGCAATCTATGTTCAAACTATTTATGTTCATTGAACATGCAAAAAATGATGAAATTTAATGTGAATATTATATTTATTGTACAATATGAGTAGTGATATTTCACACTACATGTTAAAGCTGTGAATGATACGCACAATGAACATGTAGCAAAATGGTCATACAAATACATGTTACAATAACATTGATTTATTCCTAATCTTAATAAGTTTCATGTATGCATTGTTATTATTACTGTATACATGTAAACTACATGTAGTTCATTTCCTTTTCAAACCTTATTGTATTTAATTGTTATACTATGAGGTTATTACGCGGATACCTTAAAGTATGCTTGAAGACAGTACAGCGAGAGAATCGACCGATGTGCAGCGGAGGTCGATGTGATGAAGTACTGTCTGAGTGCACGCTTTCAGGTATTCTTATTATACATCTTTTCCTTCCAAGGATACATCTAGGGGATGCCGAAATCCAAAAAGTTTAGAACAGAATCAGTGAAACTCTTTGTGTGGAGTCTGGTCAAACCCTGGTGGCAGCCATGTTTGTTTTTATTATTAGAGAACGCTTACGTGCGTAATCATTCCATATTTGGAATTTGCATTTTCTTATATGGTAGGATGAAAAATTTAAATTATGGTGACAGATGTATAATAATATCCTATATCAGTATTGTACCAATAAAACTGTTCAACACTATCATAACTTTGGTTATCAGACAGCTTTATGTTAAAATAATGCATCATTTTGATAACATAGTGATCTTAGGTTCTTTTTAGAAATACACAGGTGCATGGTCATATCACATTAACTCTCAAAGTCCAGCGAAAGAGCTCATTAGCATATTTATGAACATACATTGGTTGCAATGATACTTGTATCTGGGTTATGTACACTATCTACACATCAAATCTGAGTCATTTAGACTTTAAAAACTAAAGTTTTTGATTGAGCTGCAAAAACATTTGAATCCTGTCAGAAGGAGACGCTTTTCATAATTTATTTATATGTTGAAGCTTCATGTAAACAAACAATGCACACAAGATGTTGACTGAAACTGCTATGGTTTCTGGGATCAGAGGAAGAGTGCATCTAAGACAGGCCTGGAACAGTAACATCATGCAATGTACTGGTGTTCGAGTTGGGAGAGACATGGATAGGTGAGGATGGTGAGGCTTGGAGTAGAGCTGTGAGCCAATACTTAGCTCAGGACTATGGTTGATGATATACAGGGTACATCTACATGTAGAGCTCATTGATATGGAAAGACAAGAAGCCTTATTTGCATAATATTGAAACCAAATTTGGATCATCTTGTGAAAACATACCATGTCATAAGGCTCTGAAATGCCAAAAACCAACAAACCAGCAGTACAAAAGTACATTCACAAGTACATACAGTACCCTATTTTGTTAAGTTGAGCTGACTGTACCGTATACCCCTATTTGGTCTTTTGAGCTAACAGTACCACATACATGTACCCCATATTGGTATGTTTATTTGGCTGAAAATGTGCAATGCAGTGTAACAGACTGTGTGCATATACCTTTATATATTATGTTGTATTGAACAGCTTGGGAGGGTCAAATAATTGTCTACATGCATTTACCGCAATATGCAAATAAGTATAGTTAACAGCTTGTAGACTAATAATTCATAATACATTGACAGGTTACTGCTGTGATAGTTTAGACTATTAAAAAATA